CTACTATCTGAAGACTGCAGTCAATGAGAATTATGAATGGCATTTGAATTATTATTATCCTATCGCTAAAGAACTGTAGTTGCCAAAGCCATGACTTCACTTCCGATCACGCTGGCATCGCTTTCTCGATTACCGCGCAGGAGATGACGGGAAGTCCAGCATCTTCAATGACCAGGTAGCAGATGATAGGAAGTTGAACCAGATGTGAAAATACAAAATAGGCAGCTATCATGCGAGTAGTTAGCCTTTCATTACACCACACTTTGCTGCGAATGGGTAAACAGATGACTACGAAGCGTTCCACGCTAATCAGTTCAACTACCCAATTCCTGAAATATTCGAGAACATTCGCGAGCACGCCAATTATGCGGGTCAGAAGAGGCCCTCGTAGGGGAGGGTCATAATCACAAAAAGTCATTGGTTGGAAAATGATTAAGGAGAAGAGGAGATAGTGAACATCGGTCAGAGATAAGACGATCAGGAGCATGCGGGTTGTTCGGGGCGTTGTCTTGTCTTGCAAGAACATGCAGATACTAAGGCCGCTGGTGACTCTGCCAACCACGCACACTGGTAGGCCGAGAAGAGAGAGGAAAATAATCCGATTGTAGTGTAAAAAGACCTTGTACTTTGGACCTTCCAGCCAGGCTTCTTGCATCATGCACGGAACGCTGTCGTTTACGGTAGTTTGATCAGCCATTGGGTAGTTTTGCAGTATTCAGTGTGTAGTCGCGTGCCTGATTAAACTTTTTACAGCTCTAGCTGGAGGCAAGCTGTCACTTTTGTATACGGTGCGTCACTGGTCAAATTACCTGTCCAACCAAATTGTGAATAGGCAGAGGGTGGGTTTAGTTTATAACAACGGCCGATGTAGGAAAGTAAAATAACCAGTAAAAGTAGAAGTTCTATTAAATGAACCATTTAATAGGTAGAATTTGCCATCTAGACTACGATTTGCGATATTTGCTACCAATTTCCGTTAAGATATCATACGTTTTCCTTTTAGGAATGCATGTTATGCTGTAAGTACGCGGATTTGCTATAAAACTAGCAAAAGGCTGAGGTTTTTGGGTGAAACTTGTACCGACTCTTTTTCAAACGCGAAGCACCAATGCAAAATATATAATTGCTGCTTTAAATACAAATTCCCCAAATTTCAGTGTACATTTAGACCTAGTTGGTTGAATGCGACCTGGCCATCTTGCCTGAGGTGTGCCTGGTGACGTACCGGTCATCTAAATCTTAATATAACAGCAGCAATTCTTGTCATTGGTGTCTCCAGTCAAAAAGCGCAATAAGCAAATGAGTTGATTTGGTTATTTAAATCTTCCACACTCCCCTAACAAACAGATTATTTCTTAATTTCGAAAATGCGTTTAAGTGTTTTTATTACTATCAAGTGTATTGCCCGACTTGTCAATCATTAATAATTTTAGAAATGTGCTTTGCGATTGGAAAGTCATATGTATCCAATACAGGCGAACATGCGAGCCCCAGGAAGTAACTGAGAAGAAACGAATAGATCGCTAGCATAATACTTATATTTGACTGACGTTTCGATTTCCTTCGCGGATTCGTCATCAAAGACAAAGTCAAAGAACAAAAACAGATAGGGTAGCACATGCACAGGTGTTCGCAGTATTCATAGTATACAGTAATTACTGCAAAAATACGACGAAAATTAACCTTAATTGCCTTCTTGAGTGCTGGTGGTCTGTGGAAAGGCATGCGGGGTCTGACCTACTGATCTTTAATCACACGTGGTGGACTTGGGCGTGATGCTTGCCCGGTCATCTTGCCCTCCGGTACTGGTATATGATGAGGCGGTCGCCTGTCTGTTCCCCAAGCGGCGACTTGCTTTGGCCAAATTGAAAATCAGCACCAAATATGGATTGGGCAAATTGTTAAAACTTTTTGATGGACTGGGGGCCCGTGAACCATGACTCAAGTAATTCTCGGCTCATCCGATTGTCACATGTTGCGGAGAATCTCGGCCTCATAAAATTTGAATGTGAAGCCGGGTCTCGTCGAATGAGCCGCAATTTGAGAATTTGCATCATTTCGCCGCCCTGCTGCTACGTGTTTGGTAACTCACGTCTTGAAAAGCCTGTCAGTATCTCCGATATAATATGTTTGTCCGCAACTACACCATATCTTGTAGACCACTACAAGGTTTTCTTGCTGTGGCAGAGGGTCCTTCGCCTTATGATTGCTTTCAGCCTGTGTGCGATGCCAACTCCAAGTGGTGCGAGCGGGCGGCCGATAGCCTTCGAGATGCTTTTGACGTTCGAGATTGCTCGCTAAATTTTGGAGTCGGTGCGACTTTGTTAGCCATCTCGTCTGCGTAGGCACC